TACGGAATTTCAAAAAACGTATACAAAACTTATTTATAATAATGAAAAAACGTATGCAAATTTTTTATAGGGAATGATAAAGACCTAATGAAAATAATCTACTTATAGATAAAAGCATTTATCCTTATTAATCGAAATATCAAAATACATATAGAGGATTTTAAATCTGATCAAGTTGATCACCTAAGAGAAAAATTTATTGCTTTTGAAAGCTAATATACAATATGCTAAAACTTCTCTTTTTGAAAAAAATCTTTTTCAATTTAAAAAAAAAATTTTTTATATTATATATTTTATAACAAATCATTCGCTATTAAGATTAATGCAATCTCAATAAAGTCTATTATTAACTTAGATTTTGAAACTATGTTAGTGATAAGCATAAATGTGATGATGATAAGAAGTACAATCACGTCTGAAAGTGATGTCTGATTTAAAATTAATGTCAAAAATAGCAAAACTTTATTGACTTTCATTAAAATTCATATAAAAAATAATTACTAAAAATGGTTAATAATGTGTTGGCCCTCCTTAACTTCTAGTATTGCATTTATTCTTTGTGACATTGAAGCAACAACCTCTTCAAAAATGGAGCAATCCAAATTTTTCCATTCTTTGCTTAGTGTAACTTTAAGTTCACCCACAGTTCTTGGAAAGACCTTACAACTCTTGATATTGTTTTTTAACTACTTCCAGATATTTTCTATTGGATTTAAGTCGGGAGAATTTGCTAGCCAATCAATAATCACAATTTTATTCTTCTTCAACCAATTCTTGGTTATTTTGCGGTATGAATAGGTGTATTATCCTGTTGAAAAATTGCAGCCCTTCTTGTTAACTTATGAACTGTATGTTGAAATGGATATAGATATGAATTTAGGATTCTAATGTAAGTATTTGAATTAATTTTTTCATTTCCTTCTTTATTTTCATCACAAAAAATTAATGGCCCTTTTATCCCTCCTGCAAAACATCCCCAAACCATTATCGATTTTTGATCACTTTTAAAGGTAGGTGTTAAGCATTCAGTGTTAAACCTTTTCCCTATATGTCTTCAAACTCTTAATTGTTGTGACTGCTTGCTAATATCAACACTTGATTCATCTGAGAAAATAACTTATGCCTAATCATAAGCTGTTTTTTCTTTATATTTCTCATATTAACTAATACGAGCTAATGAATGCTTTTCTGATATAAAAAGTTTTTTTGCAGCAATATGAGAATAAATTCCAAAATTATATAATGCTCTTTTAGAGTTGTAAGGCTGCAATTTAAACCTAGTAAATTAATAACTTTATGTAAAGGTTCATATTGATCTTATGTAATTTCATTTATAAGTACATTTTTCTCATTATCATCAAGAGTAGGTGGATGCTCTGATCTAGGTAAATTTTCAGTTTTCTCTGTCTTTTTGTATCTGTCAATAATTCTTCTTATTGTGGTGGGATCACAACCTATTTTTCTTGCTATTTGTGCAGGGTTAAAATTTTCTATATATGCAAGTATTTTTTTCTTATCTTGAGAAGTTAACTCAGTTCTATATGACATTATTTTTTTTAACTTTATAATGCATTTATTAGGTTATAAAATATGAGAAAAACATTTAAAAATAAAAAAAGAGGTATAAATAATATAAATTTAGTGTATCGTAATATTGTATAAAATTAAACGTCACTTTTGAACGCAACTGTACAAGTCAAAAGGTAAAAAATGTTAATAAGAACTTCATTCTTAAATTTCATGTAAAAAAAAATATAGGTGATCAAAAGTCAAGCAATTTTTTCTTAGAGATTTAGCATGATCCTAACTATACCTATTTGGCTAACAAAAACTTATCAATAGTTTATTTCCACTGTTCTTTAAGAACTTCAAATAGTAACCTGTACTTAAAGTATAGAAGCTTAACAGGTACTATAAATTATTTTTAGAATATAAAAATACATGTATTATATAGCGAAATTTTAAGTACTTACCTAAAATCTAATAATAATAACTATTATAATGATACAACACAAGATTTAACTTATAATGAAATCTTAAGACAGGCCGCTAATTGGTTATCACAAAATAATCTATATCTTCATCTATTTATTCACATCTTATCATCACAATCCACTAAAGTTCAAAATAGAAATAATCCATTTTTAAGAATCATGCATATTCAATCTGATATCTAAGTATTTTCTGTTAATCCTCGTAATATAATAGTTCTAAATAATAATTTTTCTGATGAAGTTCACAATAAAGGCTTTTATTATACTAGATTAATGGCAGGCTTTATATAAGAAAATGATAACCTACAATTACCAATTCTAATTCATAATCCTAATTTAGAACTGTTACTATTTTCAGACATTTTTACTGATGGAAAAAGTCATTTTTATGATACTTTACAGTTACAAAGATAAAGTAACAAAACTCGTAATGAAATATATAACAAATATATAAGTGAAGACTTCATCATCATTGTCTTTTATGGTCTTATCTTCAACTGGAAAAATTGAGACATCACTAAAATACATAACGATTATTATGACAAACTCAACTTAACTCTAGAAATAATATAATTTTCTATTATTAGCAAGAGATTTACTTTATTCTAGCATTTACAATCATCACAATATAATTAATGAAACTATTATAGTACCTATTTTCACATTTATATATACTGTAATATTTATTTTTATCAAAACTTTACCTTAACACAATAATACAAAAGATTAGTTTATCTACATTATTCATAACTCTAAGTATGGCTGAAGGTTGATAAACTCACTTATGTAATATACTTTTTAGAAGTGACAAATAGATCTTTTTATTATGCTAACTATTTTTTGTTCACAAATTTTGATCTCTAAAAAATAAACTTCCTAAAAAATCTGATCTTAAAAGTTTTGGTAATATTACAGATTTTTTTGATCAGATTGAATTTCAAAACAGAAATGCTGCTCATATACATAGTTGCTATTAGATAACTAATAATATTGATCATATGATTATGAAAAATGTTATCCATTCAACTATATCAGATCCAATAAATGAATCTGAACTTTATACTACAATTATAGTAAATCAGATCTATACTTATAATAATAAATGCCAAGGACCAACATCTTTAAAACAAATATGTAAAAAAGGATTTTCACAACCTTACAATTAGATAACTTATTATGAAGAAGAAAATTCTTGTTACGTTTAAAAATGCCTAACTGAAGTTAATTCATAGGTTATTTTATATTATTCAGTAATCCTTCTAATTTGAAATACATGTATGAATGCCTAATATATAATAGATAAAGGTTTTATCTGATATATGATAAAATATATAACTAAAACTGAACTATCTCACATTTTTAACTTTTAAGAAAATGATTTACTAAAAAAATATATTATTACTTTTCTTGGACATCAAATTTGCACCTTTTCTATTACCATAAAATTCCTTATAACTGAATTATCTTATATAAGAATCTGTATTATAATCCCAATTTATATGATAGAAGAAGATGATAAAAATCCTTATTATGATGATATTATTATGAAATATATGTTCTGACCTTACCTTTCTGAATTTAATAATTTAACATACTCTCAATACTTTAAAATATATTCTATCATACCTTCATCTTCTATCCCTACATCACGTCAAATTTACCATAATAATCTAGATAATTATATTGTCAAATGTTCTAAAAAAAATAGTCACCAGATACTGATTTCTAAAAATTAAAGATAGTGAATTATATTTTTATTAACAATTACTTTTAAAAGTTCTAACAAGAAATGAATCAGATTTTAAAATCAGTTTAGATGAAACTTATCGAGAAAAATATTTATCTCTATTTTCAGATTTCTTAACTGACATGCAAAACACTAGTCGAAATAGTCCAAATCAGCTAAAAATTAGATGTCTGATTTTAGGCTGATTTTGATACTATTTACAGCCGATTTGCCATATTTTCTGATCAGCATAAATAGGTGCCGATAGACACTGATCGATCCCAATCAGACATGATCATTCGGCATTAATTTAAAACTTAAATTCAACCATAAATCAGTCTAAAACTGGCCTCAATTCAGCAACAATTCAGATGTCGATAGACGCCGATCGACTCCAATTGGACATAGCCATTCAGATTAAATTTAACCATAAATCAGCCTAAAATTGACCTTAATTTAGCATCATTCAGATTAATTCGAAACTTGCGGGTAAGGCCCATCACCTGTTTGAAGTAACAGCAGGATGATAGGGCCATCCTGAGCCTGAAAAGGAAAGCGATCGCTAAATAACATAAATCAGCTTAAAATTGACTTCAATATAGCATCATTCGGCATCAATTCAGAACTTAAATAACCATAAATCAGCCTAAAATTGATCTCAATTCAGCATCATTCGGCATCAATTCAGAATTTAAATAACCATAAATTAGTCAAATAAGCATATAAAATCGATATATTATATTTATTAATTTTATTAAATATTATAATTTTATTAATAATAAAAACCTAATAACTGGATAACACTTTTATAAGAGTGTTATCCAGTTCCGCTATAATGTTATCTAATTGTGAGTAAACTGTTACCTAATTATGAGTATATTGTTACCTAATTACTGTTTTTAATGTTCCGTGACCATTTTATTATTTTATTAATATTCATTTGTTTTTATTGCTCTATCCTATTTTATTACCTTCTAGCTATTCACTTGTTTTCATTGCTCTATGGCTTTTTTGTGGCCAAGATGCTAGGTCAGCATTGATTGCTAAAAATCATGTTGTAATCGGGTGGCGCAGTTAATTTGCTAATCAGATTTTGGCCGGCACTATGGCATAATTTCTGGCCGATATTTAGGACGGAATATCTTAGTTTTCTGAGATTGGTTTCATACAGTTTTGTAGTCGTTTGAAAGAGAAAGCCGAGAGCTTTCCAATGATGCCAAGATCGCATGGATTAGATGCCTGTATGCCGAGATATTGCGTCCCAAATATTTGAAAAAAATATGGAATAGTGCTGACCGAAATTAACGAAATTTACTGTGCTTTACTGTGCCAGTCATGTGTTTCAGTTCTTCGCCAGTTTCAGGTACTTTTTCGTCACTTTCAAGTAACTTTTGAGTAACTTTCGAGGGCCTGGTGTGATAGGCATTATTATGGCTGGCCTATTTGATTGCCAGATGAGACACGAAGTGCTGAATTTACAATCCATTTATTTGCTAAAGATGTATCGCAATCCATTCACTCACTTTTTGATTGCTGGTCAAGCACGAAGTGCCGATGTTGTGCCATTCTTGCAATCCTATCCATGATCATTTTGATTGCCGAGGATGAGACACGAAGTGCCGAATTAGTTCAGGCTATATTGCTTTCATACCTTTTTTTATATATTCTCCTGAACCTTTCTGCCTTTCCAATCTCTTTCCTGCCTATTGGCGGTAAGCCACTTGAGTATAACTTTTTTTTTCTTTTCCTTATATAATTCTGTTTGAGTGGCCTACCATTTTTTCACTTGTTTTTGCTTCTAGACCTTCTTCCTGCATATTTTCTACTTCAGAATAGGATATAAAGTGCCAAATTGGTAGCCCACTCAAGTATAACTTTTTTTCTCCAGATTGGTAACCCACTTGAGTATAATTTAGGCATACTCTTGCTAGTAATCAGATTGGAGATCAGCTTTATACATTTTTTTTTATTTCATTTCTGAGTCATACATAATATATTTTTTATTTTAAACTTGAGATTTTGTTAGTGTACATATACTGGAAACTTTCTATTTATCTATACTTAAAAGTTTGCTTTTACCATACTACTTGCGTAAAAAAATCCCAGGTCAAGCCCACTTGTTTGTTCTGAACTGCTTGAATTAATTTTTAGTAATCTCAAGATTGAAAATATACTATATTCCTGTCTTACTGTAAATCATCAATGGAATTCTGAAGCATTTCGAGTTATTTTAAAGCTAAAAGAAAGGGAATTTCGTGAAGATCTTGATTTTATCAAATATTGGCTAGACTGTAATAAACAAGAAATAACCTGTATTTATACAATTCTCTATACTCCGTATTATAATTGGATTATTACAGGAAAAGAAATTGCAAACGTTCATGCAGTAATCAAATCCCATATAAATAATCTTACAAGAATTCTTCCTTGTCTTATTAAGTCTTCTGTTTTATGAAATAAATTTTATATACAATGGCAAAATCTTTATAAGCAAATGAAAAAATTGCTAAAAGATATCGATCTACTTGATGGTATCAATAATACATAAAAAGAAAGGAACAGCGAATATATAGATAAGATTGTGAGCTGTATTGTCAAGTACTCTTAGCAGAAATTGCCACTTCCTGCTAAGAATACTGGTGATATTTATTTTTTACTTATGCAATAGTAGTAACCAAGTTTAATTTTACTTTCAAACTTGCACCTGGATTTGCATATATTTAGATCGATTCTTCTGACCATATTTGATGCAAATTTCTGTACATGATATTCTATTGTACCTATAAAATGCAAGATGAAATTGATACTAAAGCTTTGGCATATGCCCA